TTAAACAATTACAATGTTTGTTGACTAAATATTGATGCAAGACCTTGTAGATCTGGTTTGACTGGTTCACACAAGCCTTTTCTGTAGTTTTCACTATTTCAAGCTTTTTTTTTAAAACTTCTAGAGGCAGGCTCAGTACAACGATCAGTTCTGCAGCTACCTTCACAGAAGCTAACTGACTGTGTGCTTCTGAGCTGCTGAATGTTTACAAGTACGCCCACGACTTCCTCACTGGAATTTTTGATCCTCCCTCCTTGGATGGCTGTGACTTTTTTTTAGTGCTAACCTGAAGCAATCTTGAGCTGTTGTTCACTATGTTTTGTGATATGGTGGTGCCCACTGCAGCTACCATCTCAATAGTATGACTAAATTAAATATTCAAATGATTGCTGCTTATAATGTCACAGTTGTATGTATTTGCACTATTTGGGATGGCTCAATTCATTGCCACCTATCCTTCTTCTTGGTATTAGTCCAGGTTACGAAGACCAAATGGGGAAGGATGCCCCACTAAGTCTTTAGCAGAAGAGTGGCTCAATCTTGATAAACAGACTAGGTTTATTATTTAATACCTCATTATATTACATCTGAAGGAAGTACTTGCGACAGAGGTTAGACTTCAGTGTGAACATTGCTAATTTCAGTTGCAGTAATCAGTTTGTTCTTCCCAGAATAATCCTTTATATCCTGATGCTAAAGTTAATGCTTTATAAGTTACTAACTGCCTAACTTGTTGAAAGGTCAAATACTTGAAATGTTAACTGTTTTACTCTCCACAAAGTATTTTCAGCATTTTCTATTTTTATTTCAGACTAATCTAGACTATCTGCAATCCTCAATGTCCTCAGTGACATCAAGCTGAGCTTCCAAATGAATTTCCTCTCCACTCCAAAAATGCCTATTTCCACCACGAACATCACCCAGGGCAGGCCACCTCAGCCCATCTCCAAGAGAAACCCTCTCAAACCTGTGATTTAATTATTCCAATATTCTTCTTAGAGGATTCCCCATCTTCCACACTCCACAAATTTTCACTCAAAATTCTGCTCTCTGTATCCAAGGGGGCATCTACATTAGTTCTATGGTCATGGGTCTGCACTCACTTTCAGACCACCAATCCAATCATGAGAATTTACAAGTTTCCTCCTTGTAGTCGAAATTCTTCTGCAGTATCTTCCTTAGTATCTGTAACCTCCTCCATCCTGCCACACTCTCAGAACCCTGACTTCCTCCAATTCTGGTCGTGTTTGTAACCTCACTTCACGTGTGCCACCAGTGGCTATTGTGCTTTCAGCTGTCTAGGCTCTAGACTCGAATTACGTCGTTTGGATCTCTGCCCTTCCATCCCTTTGACTAAATGTTATCAGTAATCCCAATACCTTTCTTCGTTCATCAGTTCAGAGGAAGGGTCACTGGACCTGAAACGTTAACTCTGATTTCTCTTCACAGATGCTGCTAGACCTGCTGAGCTTTTCCAGCAAATTCTGCTTTTCTCTCTTTCTTTGGGTTTTAATTTGCTCCTGTGAAGTGTGACACTTTACTGAATAAACATCCAAAACGTTTGTTGAACATAGCCAAACATTAAAGCCCTAATCAGAAGCAAAGGATAAATGCAACAGGAAGGTTGTAGTCGCATCTTCCATGTTTACAGATACTAAACAAGTTTATGCTATTAGTTTCATTATAAGAGAAAACACAAGTATTGGCTGTAAATTCTAATGTAACATTTCTGATAGAACTAAACACATGGAATAGATTGCATGAGCGAGTTAACAATTTACTACAAAGACAGATTGTGTAAAATTCCCATATCAGTTCTGAGCATCTGGATGCAGTGCAGAGCAGTTCAATGATCTCATAAGTGGAACATAGTGATGATGTTACAGGATCAATAATCCAGAAGGCTGAACTAATGGTCCAGAGACAAGAATTCAAATCACACTATGGCAACTGGGTAATTTAAAGGCAGTTAAACAACATCTGGAATAAAATGCTGGCATGATAATAGTGACCATGAAACAACTAAAGTAACTTGGGACACATCTGCTCTCATAGCTAAACTGATAGTTTGGAAATCAACTCTAGTTGCATACTTTTGGACCAAACCATGACAGAGTGACTGACTGACGACCTAGCTTCCACTGCAGCATAAGCCAAATTAAACTAATGCATAGGTACTACAGTTGAATTTCAGACAGCTGCCATGCAAGATTAACTTATTTCCATGCAACTTCAGGTGCTCCCTTTTTGTTTATGGCTTACTGTATTCAAAGGTGGTATATAGGGAATCACAACAGTCCAGCAATCTGTTTTTCAATAGACTGTTAGGATTACTGAGACACTTCCCTGGTGAATTTGTCCTCAAACCTGTGCCACTCCACCGTTCCTTTGCTCTTTCCTGGCCCAGCCAGTACAGATTGTTGCTATCCAAACTGGGATGCATTTCTTCACAGCCAGGTCTTGTAGGCCCAAAGCCACTCTCGGTTGTCCTCCAAGGCCATGTGCTATCTCCATGAAAGTCAACAGCCTTCCACGAGCCACTGTGGTAGCACTACACTGGAGCAGTAAGACAGACAAATTCACAGTTTGGATCAACTCAAGGAGAAATATCCTTGTGAAGGGAGGTAACTCAAAAGTCTCCCGAGGTTGATTCCTAGAGTGAAGCAGTTGTCTCCTGAGAAAAGGTTCAGCACATTGAGCCAATCTTTATTGGAGTTCAGAAGAATGAGATAGGATCATATTGAAACATGCAACATCCTGTGGCAGCTTGACAGGGTGGATGTTGAGAGGATGTTTCCCCTTGTGAGAGAATTTAGAACAAGTGGCAAAGTATCAGAATTAGTTGTCACCTTAAGATGATGACAAGAATTTAGCCTCAGGGTGATTAACCTTCTAAATACATACTCCAGAGAGCACAGTAGGTTAGGTTATTGAGTATCTTTGAGATTCAGTTAGAGATTTCTGATCTATACGAGATATACTCTTAATTCTTAGACTCTTGTGGAAGGCAAATAGAGGGCATGCACAAGGATGATAAGTTGCTATATGGTATATTGCATTAGTGATATTTGTTTGAAATGCAGTGGTCTTATTTTGGTACAGCCAAGTGAACACAATGATGGTCTATGGCAGAGGGAAGGAAATGTGCGGGGCCAGCGGGAAATTGGTGCTGCTATTAGTGAGTGCAGACTCAATGTGATCTCCGCAGGCATCTCAGAAACAAAAGGACTGTCTAAGTTACCTATTCCCTCTTTCTTTCTCTTTCTCAGCAAATAGCTGCTGCCCACACACTACTCCCTCATATCAGTACAATTGTGCAGCATCAGTACGACTCTGCAGGCCCCTTTCAAGTCAGCAAGTATTGCTTAAGCATTTCAATGGTCTCTCACTTTGCATACATACATAGTTGCACAATAGAGTTATCTGCAATGTTGTGAGCAAATAGTCACCTAGTAACTAGCCTTTGATATGGTGGTTCCAATGCAGTTCAATGCAGACTACCGTAGAATAGATATTGCGACTGCTGCCAGGATGCTGGGCAGTGACTTGTGCAACAGTGGGGCACTGAAGTAGAGTAATCCATTTTGGTTCTGGTGTAGGAAAGCTGTGACATGCAGTGTCAGCAAAACAATACCTACACACTCAACAACACCCTGAACTATAGGCAAACCCACAGTCTGAACAAAAGCACATGCCTGCTTTTCCCTAACAAGTGAACGAAATGTAGTTAAATCCCTCACAGTTGAAGGTAAGTCAAGGTGTTGTTAACATCTCCTCCCCGCTAGAAAGAACCAAACATTTTACAAGTTCATAGCCATGAGAGTGCAGTAGGCAGCATATCTTAGCAAGGTTATTCTTACTGAAAACAGCAGGCGTTTCAATCATTGTTCTTCACCAAAGTCACAGGATGGAGTACTTTGGGCAGAAAAGGCATTTTTGGGAGAAATATTCTCAATCTCTCTCTTCCATTATCATCTTGTTATGCTTGGCCATATTATATTTCAAGGAGAAGGCCTACCAACACATCCATGTTTGGGAGCAACTAGTTTGTCAGGGGCCTTGAAATCAGCAATAGGTACTTTACTACTGAACTGCTTCCGTAAGATTCTATGACTTTAAAATAGATATAGAAAAGCAAACACCTCTAAGTTCAAAATAAGACTGCAAGTAGTTGATGGTTTCTTTAAATAGCATTGAATCAATGGCGGGTAGGGGAAGGCCCTTCTTGCCAACTAACATACTCATTCGTACTACAAGCTGCAATAGCTTCCAACATGTTACAACTGGTGTCAAATCACCAATGAATACCATACTCTACGTACTTCCGGCAGATGCTTCACCACTCACCAATATGGCACTAAGCACAATCCGTCCGAAGTGTCCACAAATGATATTTTGGAGCTCTAGCAGCACGTATAGCATTTCCATATCTCCACCACCGCCACCACCCACCCCCAGAGTATTTTATCCACAATCTGAGTTTAAAATTAAATAAATACAGACAAAACGCAGGCTCCAGATTACGTTCTTCCAATGTCTTGAACCTGCCCTTATTTCCTCTAGGGTTACCATCGCAGGTTTCCTCCAGAACAGGAAGTTTAAAAAAAAACTCAACAATATTAAACCACTGTTAGATTTTATTCATATTGAAAAAAATTCACACATCTGCGACGATGTGTTCCAACATTGCGAAACTATTAGTTCTAATGGCGATTAGACTATTAAGATGTTTAAATGTATTTATACATTCACAGAAATTGCGAAAGCCGTACAAGTAATTCGAAGCAATTTCTCCAAGGTCAAATAAAAGTTAACCGTTTTTCATCGTATTTTTCACAAATCAATAAATAGCTCGCTCTGAACAATTCGTGGACTATCCAGGCGTTCAGCTCCACCACTTCCTTCCCTGCTGCAGGCCCAACCCACCATTGGTCCGACACAACCAGTGGTGCTAAAACTCTCAAACACGTTTTTAAAGGCAGCAGAAACGAGCTACTCACGTCCCTTCGACGCGCACCGGCCGATGTTTACAAAAGAACTGGAATAACACCACCTTTAGAATATTAACAGAACATAGCCAGCAGCGAGTGCTGCCAACAGCGTCTTCCGGTGGGATCAGGCAGCCGGAAGTAGATCACACGTCAGTTCCGGCATCGGTGCCCATTCTGAGGTCACTGCTCCCAGGTCGTGAGGAGGGGGGAGGGTGTGGATCTGAGACACTGGGGCTTGAGTGTCAAGTGTTACGCTGCTTTTACCAAACCTACTTGCTGTTTCGTACTTTCCAATCGGGAAACACAACTACGATTTTTAAACTCCTGGTCACTCTTCTTCATTTTGCACTCCATAAACCTTAGGTCATTCAAATCTCTGTTGGTTGTCTTGAAGTGGAAGCAAGTCCTATTCCCCATCACCCTAGCCCCCAGTGAAACGATAGATGTGAGGTTATCTACTTTGGTAGAAAACAAAACAGGAAGGCAGATTATTATGTGAATGGCTATAAATTCAGATTTTGATTGTCGCAATAACCTGAGTACAGTGAAAAGTTTTGTTTTGCGTGCAGTAAAGGCAGATCATAACATACAAAGATCAGAGGGTGATAGAACAAAGTGAGGAATGCAAAAATACGACTGCAAAGAAGGTGTGCAAAAAGCAAGATCAACGTTGGATTTGAAACTTGAGAGGTCCATTCAGAAGTCTAATAATAGAAGGGAACAAGCTATTCTTGAACCTGCTGGGATGTGTGTTTGAGCTTTTGTATCTTCTACCTGACAGAAGGGGTTGGAAGAGATTATACCTGGGGTAGCAGGGATCTTTGATGAGAGAGGTGAATGTGGTGAGACCTGGGTGTGCTTGTAACCAATCACTGAAGGTAAGCCTGCAGGTGTAGCTGGCAGTCAAGAAGGCAAATGATACTTTGGCCTTCATAGCGAGAGAATTTAAGTACAGGAGCAATGATGTCTTAATGCAATTATATAGGGACTTAATGAGACCACATTTGGTATATTTTGGGCAGTTAGTCACCTTATCAGAGGAAGGATATTCTGTAGAAGGAGTGCAGTGACAATTTATCAGCCTGATTCCTGGGATGAAAAGACTGACATAAGCAGAAAGGTTTAATTGGTTATATTTGGTAGAGTTCAGAAAAATGAAGAGGGAGTCTCATAGCAACCTATAAAATTCTAATAGGACTACACAGGGTATTTAGGAGATGTGATGGCCTAGTGGTATTATCACTGGACTGTTAATCCAGAGACCCAGGTAATGCTTTGGGGACCCAGGTTCAAATCTGACCATGGCAAATGGTGGAATTTGAATTCAACAAAAATCTTAAATTAAGGGTCTAATGATGAGATGGTAAGAACTGCCGATGCTGGAGTTGGAGATAACACAGTGTGGAGCTGGAGGAGCACAGCAGGCCAGGCAGCATCAGAGGAAGCACTGGAGCCTCACAGGGCCAGGGACCCAGGTTCGATTCCACCCTTGGGCGACTGTCTGTGTGGAGTTTGCATGTTCTCCCCGTGTCTGCGTCGGTTTCCTCCCACAGTCCAGAAATGTGCAGGCTCAGTGGATTGGCCATGGAAAATTGCCCATAGTGTTGAGGGATGTGTAGATTAGGTCGGTTATAGGGGGATGGGTCTGGGTGGGATGCTCTGAAAGTCGGTATGGACTTGTTGGGCCGAAGAGCCTATTTCCACACTGTAGGGATTCTATAAATTCTACGAAAAAAGAGTTGCAGGAAAGTTGACATTTCGGGTAGGGACTCTTCTTCAGAAATGGGGGAGGGGCAAGGGAATTCTGAAATAAATAGAGGAGGAGTGGGGCTGGGGAAGGTAGGTGGGATGATGATAGGTTAGTGCAGGTAGGCAGTGGTGGGGATTGGTCAGTGAGGTGGGAGGAGTGGATAGGTGGGGTCAGGTCGAGGAGGCGGGGATGAGAGGGAGGATTGGTTAAGGGATGCGTCCGGGGATGGGGAGATTTTGAAACTGCCACATTGAGTTTGGGTTCTTTACAGACTGTTGCCTTCTCTATTATCTATATATCTTTGGTCAAAGTTGTGGGTGGAGGAACTTGAACATCAACTTTATTAACACCTTTCACCCCAACCTCAAGTTCACCTGGACCACTCTGTCTCCATCTCTGGTGACCGCCTCGAAACCGATATTTATTTCAAGCCCACCAACTCCCACAGCTACCTAGATTACACCTCCTCTCACCCACCTTCCTGCAAGATTGCAATCCCCTACTCCCAATTCCTCCACCTCCACTGCATCTGCTCCCAAGATGGGCCATTCCACTCCCGAACATCCCAGATGGCCTCTTATTTCAAGGACCGCAACATCCCCCCTTCAGTGGTCAAAAATGCACTTGGCCGCATTTCTTGCGTTTCTGGCACCTCTGCCCTCACATCCCCTCCCCGCAACAAAAACAAAGACAGAATCCTCCTTGTCCTCACAAATCACCCCACTAACCTCTGGATTCAACATATCATTCTCCGCCACTTCCACTACCTGCAATCTGACCCTACAACCAAAGATATATTTCCAACTCCACCCCTATCTGCCTTTCGTAGGGACCGTTCTCTCCGCAACTCCCTTGTCCGCTCCACACTCCCCACTAGCTCCATCACACCCAGCATCTTTTCCTGCAACTGCAGGAAGTGCTACACCTGCCCCTACATCTCCCCCCTCACCTCCATCCAAGGAACCAAAAAAACCTTTCACATCAGACAGAGGTTCGCCTGCACATCTGCCAACGTGGCCTACTGCATCCACTGCTTGCGAAGTGGTGGCCTCTACATTGGCGAGACCACGCGGAGGATCGGAGACCGCTTTGTAGAACACCTGTGCTCTGTTCATGACAAACGACAACACCTTCCAGTCGCGAACCATTTCAGCTCCCCCTCCCACTCCCACTCCCCGGGTGACATGTCCATCCTGGGCCTCCTCCAGTGTCACAATGACGCCACCCGGAAACTGGAGGAGCAGTACCTCATATTCCACCTTGGAAGCCTACAACCCAATGGTCTCAATGTGGACTTTACCAGTTTCAAAATCTCCTCATCCCATGACAACCCTCCCTCTCATCCCCACCTCTTGACCTGACACAACCTGCCCATGCCCATCTTCTCTCCCACCTATCCACTCCTCCCACTTCACTGACCAATCCCCACCACTGCCTACCTGCACTCACCTATCACCATCCCACCTACCTTCCCCAGCCCCACGCCTCTTCTTTTTATTTCAAAAGATGGGTCCCAACCTGAAATGTCAACTTTCCTGCTCCTCTGATGCTGCCAGGCCTGCTGTGGTCCTCCAGCATCACACTGTGTTATCTAAGGGTCCAACGATGACCATAATCCATTGTTGTCAGGAAAATCCCATCTGGTTTACTAATGCTCTTTAGGGAAGGAAACTGCTATTCTTACCTGATCTGGTCTACATCTGATTCCGAACCCACAGCAATGTAGTTGACTCTTAGCTGTCCCCTCGGCAACTAGAATGGGCAATAAATGCTGGCCTAACCAGTGATGCCCTCATCCCATGAATGAATAACAAAAAAAATGCAGGATGGATGTTCCAACGAGCCAAGGCCAGAATTAGGGCTCCCGATGGAGCTGCTCTGCTTCACCTATTCTTTTCCCTCTTTTTCTCTGCCCTTAGCCTTAGAGGTGAATCCTGGAGCAGTGGCAGGCACAAGGAGCGAGTCCCAGGCAAAGACCGGTGCAGGGAAGGCAGTCCTGGAACTTGCCTTGGAGCAGCTGAGTGCCGGTACGGAGTCGACTAGAGGCTTGGAGTGGAGTGCGGATAGCTGTTGGACTGGGGTCTGGCACAGCACGTATGGAGGCCCTGTGCTGAGCTGCTGTAATGTAATGTTTATTTCAAATTTCTACCTGCCTCTAATGTTGATCCTTTAATGATATCTTATTTCTAACTTATTTTTGAAATTCTGTAAAGTAATGCAACTACTTTTAAATCCTAAATAAAAACTGAAAGAACTGCAGATGCTGTGAATCAGAAACAAAAACAAAGTTGCTGGAAAAGCTCAGCAGGTCTGGCAGCATCTGTGAAGGAAAAAACAGAGTTAACGTTTCAGGTCCAGTGACCCTTCCTCTTTTTAATCCTCTTGTATCCAAGATTTGTACCTCGGTTTTGTACGTAAGATGGTGCCATAAGAGACAGACATTGTAAAAGCTTTTCACTGTATTCCTGTACTTCTACAATGGAGTACAGACAATAATAGGATATTCTATTCTATTCACAGTCTAAGGACATGGGGTAAACCAGTTAGGACTGAGATGAAGCAGCATAGCAGGACCCAGGTTTGATTCCAGCCTTGGGCAACTGTGTGGAGTTTTCATATTCTCCCTGTGTCTGCGTGAGTTTTCTCCCACAGTTCAAAGATGTGCAGGTTAGGTGATTGGCCATGGGAAATGCAGCACTACAGGGATAGGGTAGTGGGGAATGGGATGCTCACTTGAGGGTTGGCGTGGATCCCCTGGGCCAAATGGCCTCCCTCCACACTGTACTTATTCTATGATCAAGAAATTTCTTTGCCCAGGGAGTGATCTGCCTGTGGAATTTGCTACCACTTGAAAGCACTTGAGGCCAAACCTTGTATGATTTCAAGATGTTGGATATAGCACTCGCAGCTAAAGGGATCAAAGGATATTTGGGGGTGGGAACAGGAACAGGCTATTGAGTTGGATGATTAGCTATGATCATAATGAATGGATGTGCAGGCTTGAATGGCCTACTCCTGCTCCTTTTTTCGATGGAACAAGGAATGTTTCACATCCACCACAAAGACAAGCATAGCTGGAACCTATGTGGGCACACATGACCACACCTTTAATTCATCTCATTTTTTCCAAGTCAAAGTGGAAGCTGATCAAAATGAGAACAAGCTCAACCAGGTGGTGGAGGGTCACAGTGAATGGAAACTGTGCAGGCCTCTTTTCAAGGAAGAAGTGGAGAACCTTCTCACCATCCCAATTTGAAATAGACAGCTGCAGGGATTGCATATCCAGGATGAAGAAGAGATGGCTAGGACGAGAAATTGGGAAATTGTGGAACTGATGTAAAGCATCAGAAGATGCACAAATCTAAGTGGGGAGAGACTGAAGGGGGGAAAATACAGAATCTAGATTGGGACAAATAAGC